ACTGTAAAGTGTTTTTACTCAACTTGGAGTTTTGATTCGGGACCAAGCGCATCTTGTGCAGAATTTTTCGCTGATTCCGAATATGTTTTCTAGATTTGCTACGGACTTTATTTACAAAATCATTTTGGTAACAATTAGGCCGAAAAATGCCAAAAATTCAGACGCTGGCCCACTATTCCTTGTTTGGGGCTATGGTTGCCAGGGCCCTGAAGTACCCTCTGACAGCACCCTTCCAGTTGGCACCATGGTGCATTGGCAAAGTACTCGCTTGCCAAGCGCAGGGCGGCGGTTCGAACCCCCGCCCTGCATAATTTCTTTTGCTTTTTTAATAAAAATCTCATTTTTTATCTAAAATGCTTGTTTTGAGCTGTAGGATGCTTGTCGAGCGCCTAGTCAATTTTGACGTTGAAATTAATGAAGAAAATCGAAAACTATAACGATACCTTCATTTTGGTGAAAACTAGGGTCATAATTGCCGTATAACTTTCAGAATAACGGTTCGTAGCAAATTTGGAAAACATATTCGGAATCAGCGAAAAATTCTGTACAAGATGCACTTGGTCCCGAATCGAAACTCCAAGTTGAGTAAAAACACTTTACAGTGGGAAGCCCGGATGGTGAGTGAACTTTTTTCGGTATGAAAACGTGGAAAGCGTTTTTAAAAGCGGTTAAAACTGTTGTAAGAAATTTTAAACTGTTCTGAAGGTTATTCGCAAAATTTTGGAGCATTCACGTTTGCCGTCTCCGACGCCACACTACTTGTGAAGACTTCGTCAACCATGGCCGGAATGGGACAGCCTCGTCACTCCGTATACGTCGGAAACCTGCCGTACCAGACCACCAAAAACGACCTCGGCAGCTTCTTCAGCCAGGCCGGACAAGTCACCAATGTCAGGATCGTCTACGATCGTGGACCGGACGGTGCCAAGGGATTCGGATTCTGCGAGTTCGCCGACGAGGGAGGAGCCCAAAACGCCATCAACATGTTCAACGGAGCCGACTTCAATGGCCGTACCCTCCGCGTTAACGCAGCCAACCGATAAAAGAACACCCGATCTCTCATTTTGTTATTTATACACTTTTTTTCCTTGAATAAACTTATTTTCTTAAGCAGCTCGGATTTTTTGCCTGAAATTTAAAAATGCGTGTTTTTTTACAAAATGTATGAAAAGGGAAACTATCTCGAAATTTATTTACTACCGCTGGTGTCTCTGAAGTAAAAGCACACATTTAGTTAAACTTTTAGAACGTTTCTAAATTCATTTTATTGAAATTGAATTTTTAAAGCAACGTTGATGGTTCGTTTTAGAAGTATGCGAGGGTATGATCCAGTCGTGCTGTGAGGTGGCGATCGCCCTCATCGATGCTGATGCCCACGAAAATCAGCTTCAACTTGTCCTCGAGACGATCAAGCACATGAACCCGATCAAGGTATACGAGTTTTGTTTCTGTGAAAAACTTTCTCCTTTTCAGGGCATGGACCTCTACCGGCGCTCCTACGAAAAGCTGGCCAAAGCCCTCGACGCAAAATTCATAGAATGGGTGTGGCCGGTGCGGCAATTCCTCACCGGCGAATGTGAGTTTTTTTCTGTTCGATTTTTGTTGAGCTTTTGAATATTATAATATTTTATTAATTGGTATATGTCGGTTAGGGCGGGGGACGGGACAGGTAGGCCTTTTTGGATGTTTTCGTTATTAGAAAATCTAATACATTTTAATAGGATACTTATTTTTCACACCGAAAAACTAAAGGAGTGAAAGGCGAAAACATTTGACGTTTACCTAATTTTTCGTCTTTTTTCATACGCTTTCGAGCAAAAAAAAAACTGGCCTGGACCGTTTTAGCTCTCTTTGAACTACGGACAGCTCGCAACGGGTTTTCTAGATGCCATTTTTTTTAGATCATTGACGAAATGTCGCGCGAACGGAGCCCGAAGGTGCGCGCGGCTGTCTACAAGGCCCTGCGTCCGTTGCTGACGAATGCCGCCGCAATGAATGTCGTCGAGCACGCCCTGAAATGCGTGGTGCCCCACGGATTGGCCGATCGAAGCGAAAAGGTTGATTCGAGCCTTTTCCACTTTCAAACCCCAATTTCAGGTCCGACTCGCCTGCTTCCAATTCCTCAATTTGATCCGCGACCATCGTTTTATCAGAGTAAATCGTCTGCTGCTTTCCAAAATATTCTTTTAGTTCTACGACGTTGCCGACGTGTCGCTGATCCTGGCCTGCGCCGAGTTGGAGACGGACAAGAAGGTTCAGGAGCAGATCGTTGGACTGATCCAGAAGGTATAAAACCTTTTAGTCTTTTCAGGGTACCGTTTTTGTAGTCCTTTCTGCCGGTCAAAGTTCGTTTCGCCATGTTTCATCTCGTCGAATTTTCCTTTGACCGAATTTCGCCTCGCCGAATACTGTTTATGAATGATGATTAGAATAGTTAGTTGTTCTAGTGGCTAAAACAACGACTTTACCAGGATTTAATTCCTTCCTTTAGCCCTTTCACATGGGCGAAAAAGGTTTTACAAATTTTCTATTTAAGAAAGTGATCAAACTTGTCCGAAAGCGAATTATCATTCATGAAAAGTATTCAGCGAGATAGAATTTGCTGAATGGAAGTTTCGGCGAAAAGAAATGGGGCGTGATGAAATTTGGGGAAAAATGGATACTTTAACAAGAAAAATAAGATAAATGCTCTTTTTTCAGTCATTCCTGCCAGCAGGCGCCCTATTCGACGAGTGGATTCGACGCCAAAAGCGGCTGATCAAGTAGGGTGGACGGAGGGCGCTAGTCACCTTCTACCGGCACATCTACACTTATTCTTGTTTTTAGATGCTTTCATTGTTTTAAGGGTTGCCATTTCCCACAGTAATAATAGTGTTGCGCTCGCAAGCAAAAATTCGGGTATTGCGATAAGCAGCGCTTGTTTTTTTGGTAGATGACCTAAGCAACACTTTAACAAGTTTCGGTTGCGAATAAACCGAGCTACGTAAACTAAAACTTTGCTTGAAAAATATTGCAAGTTGTCTCGTAGATTCTTCTGCGCATCCCGTATAAAACATAGACATAGTTCTCTATGTGTTATATGCGCATATGAATATACGAGATAACTTGCAAGGTTTAGATTCATTCGATTTTATACGGACGGGAAATATTAAAGTATTGTGTAGGTCGTCTACAAAAAAAGTGATAATTCCAACCTACTGCAGCATATCAACACTATAAACAATGAAAACATAAAAACACACGAGTAATTTTTCCAAATAAATCTCAGTTTCTAATCCTAAACCACTAGCAGCGATGATTTCTTCGAAATTTGTGCAAAAGAAGTAGCTAACACTCAAAGGCACCGATTTTACGTTATTATAGTTTTATTAGGACGAAAATTAAACAAAAAGAAACATACCCTCCTTAGATAGAGCCGGGATTTCAACTGGGCGCGCGCAAGTAATTTAAAAAAATTTTTGGGAGTCCGATGTCGTCATCCAACCCGCACCCATCCGTCAACCCGTCTTCGACCCGTTCACAACCCGTCCTCAACCCGCCCATAACCCGTTCCCTCTCAACCCGCGGTCTAACCCGTTCTTGGGCTTCAACCCGCGGCCTAACCCGTTCTCGGCTTCCGACCGCGGTCGTACCCATTCCAACGGGTCCGACCGCGGGTTTAGCTTTCCTGAGTATAAATATTGGTGATGCGGGGGCGCTCGTTTTTCCAAAAGAATTCGTTAAAGTTGCATTCTAGCTACTTTCCATGAACCTAATAGAACAGTACCCACTTGTCTACCTTCCTTATTGTTTTTTTCGACTCAAATGCAATCTATACTTACTAATTAGCCTACTGCGCACATTTTGGTATTCTTTAGAGCTCGCTAGCATAAAGGGGGGCCGCGATACACAAGAGGGTGCCGGTTGGGCGGGGCGGGATTTCCTAGACTCTTACCCAAAAAAACTATCCGCTCCAGCGTTTCTTTCTTTTTACCCAAATTTTCAAATTTTCAACAAAAGTTTGCGTTTTTAGGTTTTCTATAGTTTCTTTTGGCTGTATTTTTGCCCATTTGTCGATTTTTATTGAGCGAGAAGAACATGCACTATTATTTCTTTCTTTTTATCGAAATTTTTAATTTCGCTGGCAAAATAAATCGCCTTTCCAGATATGCGCGATGCCGGACGCGCGTAACAACAACTATTCGCTGAAGGAGTATGCCGAAGCGCAGCGCGAGCTCGGCTTATGCCCGAATTCAAGTGAGTGTTCCATTTCTTGAAATTTACGCGTTTTCTTTTAGGGATAGCGTGAAGCGGATGACGAAGGCCGGCCTCTTCTTCGGCATCCCGCACGGCGTCTATGTGAGCGATGTGCACGGTCATCGCCAAGGTCATCCCATCATCGTTAAGTTATCATTTTGGTGGTTTTAATCAGCCCTGAATCGAGCGATATTTGAATTTTATTTTATTTATGAAAATACTCTTTTTGCTGCGAGAAAAAAAGCCATAATTTTAAGATTTCCGGTGCTGCCAGGTTATCGGGGGACGGTTATTTTAGCGGGGGACGGTTGCGAATTTTTTTATAATATCGTGCGGCTCGGCTAATTAAAAGCTGGCCGTTTTTATAGACTTGTGCGCCGTTTGAAATGGTTCTGGACTGTTAGCGGGGGAGGAGAAATTAAGAAAAACGTCATAAAACCTGTAGAAAAATTTTGCTTTTTCGGTCTAACGTGTATGAAAATGATTAAAACCGCGTTATAACCCTAGATTTCGTGACTATAGGATAAATGTTTTTATAATTTTTGATTATCGGAAGCTACTAATAACATAATTAAAATAAACTACAATTTATCACTAGGCAGGTATAGGCTAAACAAAAAGAAGATGCCAACCGTCCCCCGTTAACCTGGAAGCGCCAGATTTCCTACCGTTTTCACGTTTAGGAATAGTAAAAATTTGCTTAGAAATAAAAAGTTTAATTCAAAATTTCAGTTGTTGACGGCGGTCTCGGACATTCTGCACGACACTTTCCCTGGTGAGACAGGCTTCGTATTACGGTATCCCGCGGCTTTCAGACTACAATTTTTCCCCTTCTTTCAGATTGGGCCACATGGGCCTCGTGGACGCCATCTTCCGCCATCACGGACTCAGCACGGAGCTACGCGATCGTGTCCTCGATGTACTCCACGAACAATCCGCCTCAGCGAGTACGTCTCGAGCATGGTGATCATTGCCAACTTTGCCCGTTTATGACAGCCCGGAGCGACGGAGCGTGTCGATATCCTGTCAGAAGTGGTGGGCACTCGATTGGCCGCTTCTCTCGCTTCTTTATGGCTCTCATCCCCATCCGCCAGCGCCATAAGATGTTGCTCAAAAGTCGTGACGAACCCCTTCGAGACGCGTGCAATTGCGCTATCGCCCGTCTCGAGCGTATCGTCGCATTGTTTAGAGATAGCGTGGCTTCATTCCGGACCCCGGGGGCTCTAGCCGTTCGGAGGCTCGTCAAATTTCCATGGTTTGGTATCAATCAAAGGCTCTCGTCGAGCTGAGATGATATGTTTTCTCCGATTTAGGACATTCGCCGATTTTTGGCGGTTTTCATGCAAAAATTACGCATTTTTGCTCCAGAAACTCAATTTAACCGATTGTAGTGCTCTCTCCAACCTGTGTTTTATTAATTGGCGTTCAAAAAGCGGGCTTTGGGCTGCCATAAAGGGTGTCAAAAGTCAGAAATTGTGCAGTTTTAGAAACACTTTATAAACCATCGAGTGTGCAGCCCATTTCGCAAAAATCTTGGTAAATTGTGAAATTTCGAAAATCGGAGGCAACTTAGACGGCGTCGTTTTTTTAGTGTAGTCCGGACTTTGGGTTGGGATGAAGCCTATCTTGTGCAGAATTTTGCGCTGATCCCGAATATTGTAACAGTTTTTGCGGAATAACCAATTCTCGATAGCCCTGAGCGATTTAAGCTTTGACTTGAGCTTCCCGAAGCCTTTTTTGTCCATCGAAACTGGTCCTTTGTGGTATTTTTCAGGTTTAAATTGTTTATAATTTTGGCTATGTGGCTATTCCGCATAAACGGTAATCATATTCGGAATCAGCGCAAAATTCTGCACCAAATCGGCCTGGTCGTATCCCAAAGTCCCGAAGACGGCAACCCGTATTTAACGCCCCTTCACGCCCTTTCGCGCCCTCCTGTATTTCGCGCCCCCTGTAAATAACGCCCCCTGTATTTAACGCCCTTCTGTATTTAACGCCCTCCATATGACCACGAAAAGGGCGTTATTTACCGGAAAAAGCTCGTTTTGCAGGGCGTTATTTACAGGAGAGCGTTAAATCCCAGGGGGCGCGAATACAGGGGCGTTATTTACAGGAGGGCGTGAAGGGGCGCGAAAGGGCGTTAAATACGGGTTGCCCCCGAAGACGCTGAAAAACGTCTCCTCTCCAAAAACCGCACAGCTCGTCGAAAGCTTTCCGTGATACGTAAATCATAAAAATGGGGCACCCGTACCGGGCTGTATCTATATTTTTTTGTTGTCATTATGACACCCGGTATTTTCGAAAATCAGTTTCAGACCAAGACATTGACATCGAGGCGGGAGGCCCCCGCACATTTGCCGACGGTCGCGTCTTCCAGTTCGGTGCTCATCTACTGCGCAAGGGACGTCTTGGGGTGTATCCCGTGGTACGCCTTCTTCGGTGCTTCTCCTTTAACGCGGGGCTGTTTTTATTTTTATCGCCTGTTCATAATAAATCGGGTATTTTTACAATGTTTTTTAATAGTTTTTGATTGCTAGAAATTTTTTGGTCATTTTCATGCATTTTTCGCGAAAAAGTCAACTTTCAAAAATTTTCATAATTTTTCAAAAGTTTTTTATAACCAAAAATCGTATAAATTTTGTGAAATTGGTTACAGCGGAAGCACGGCTTCTTCATATCCAAAATACTGCCCCCGTTTTTCAGGGCGATACGACGGGATGCTGACGCGGATCCGTGGCCCCGAAGATGAGAAGCCGCCGGGCGAGCTGGCGCTGTGCGGCTGTTCCCTAAACCTTGACCTCCTCCTTGGACTCGGTGGCCAACAACAAAGTTTGTATTTGTTCCGATGCATGCCTAATAACAGCCCTAGATACCGCCGCCCCAGCCCCATGCCAGGTGCTTCTCGGCTCGTTCACCCGGGCGATGACCATCGAGAAGCTGGCGTTGGCCCGGCAATTACGCGATGTCGGGCTGGCGGTGGATACGATGAATGAACCGCTCGACAACCACACACTCGATGCATTAAAGGCACATTTTGTTTCGAGTCACCGTAATTTGCAGTTGCAAAATCACGTTTCGGTTCTTTCGCATTATCGGGGGAGGGATTTCCTTAGGACCCAAATTTTTTAGCCAGAAATAACCGAGCGGTTTCTAATTTTTTTACTATTCCTACGAAAAAAGCAGGTTTTCCACCAAAAATTTCGACTTTTTGAGAACAAACAAACAGTTTTAAAAGAGTTAATTTACAAAAAAAACACGCATCAATCGAAAGGTCACGCGACAAGGCCAGAAAATCTATGTATTAAATTTTCATACTCTGCGAATCTTGCACCATTTTTTGGCTGTTTCCAACAAAGAAAACTTTTTTGGTCACAAACACGGCTTTATCCGCTGAAAGTAAGATTCATAATTTAGAAATCGTATTTGGATTTAAGCTGTTTTCGAAAATGGTTTCCAAGAAAGGGCGTGCTGAAGATGTTCGGAACTTGTCGTTTTTCTGTTCCGAAAATTTTGTCTCCTTTTTGGACGTGAAAACGCTTGCATTTACCAATTCTGAAGCTATTTTGGAATCCTCATCGAATTTTGATCATTCTGGACTTTTTAATTATGAATATTTGATGAGAGAATGACCGAGATCGAGAGATTAGGTGTCTTACAACGCATTACCACATGTAATCGCCGCCTACTCAGGAACTTTTCGCTTTTACTCAAATATTTTACGTTTTTCGCAACGAAATCACGTTGCTAGGCCTTCTCGGTAGTAACCCTTTGGTTTTTGACCAGGAGGTTCAATTTTGACACGAATTTTTCATTGAATTTTGGCTTCCGGGCCCCTTTAAACAGCGATCCATCAAAAGGGCATCGGAAATTCTGTCCGTTTCACAGGGAAAACGATGGAACTGACGAAAACATCTTAATTTCAATAAACCGGAGAGATTGGATCTGCTCGCCTTTTTGAGAGCTTTCGATTCATACCAAAATCTTAGAAATCGGAGATTCCTATGGCTAGATCGGTCTTTTTTGGGACACGCTGTAATTTCCAGTTTTTCAGGAGTTCTGCGATCGCCGTGAAATCCCGTTCCATCTGATCATGTTCGACTCGAATCTGGTCAGTGCTTTTCCTCCCTAAATACGCTTCAATTTGTCTAGGTGCTCACCCGAACGCCACGCCAAGATTTTGGAAAACTGGAGACGAGGCGCGCCGTCGAGACCGTACTCCGGCAGTTGGCCACGCCCACCACCGAAGCCCCGCCCCACGATACAGCACACTCGGATCGCCGTGCCCCATTGGCCAAGTGAGTCTTGCCGTTTGGAAGGGGAATTCGCGGCTCTGGTTCGTTAGGGGGGGGGGTTTGGTCTAGAAAATTTAATATTACAATAAATTTGCTTAATCGGCGTTTTCAAAAGCTACAACGTATTTTGGGCGAATGCGCTCGAATTGCAAAGAAAATTGCAAGGCTCCTCCAAAATCCTCCAAAAACGCAGAAATCGCAAAATTCTGCACAAGATAGGCTTGGTACTTCGCAAAACAAACCTGGATGTCGCTCAAAAACGTTTCTGGTTAGCCTGACCTCGGTATTAACAGGAAAACCGGTTTTTTCGATTCGTTTTAATAATAGCTTTCGAGCACTCAAAATATTAAAACAATTTTTTACAGCTGCATTTTTTGAATTTTATTTAGTCGGTATATTAATTTCATCTATTTGTGCGCAAAAATGCGCTTTTCCGGGTTTTTTTCTGCGTTGGGCGGAAACATGCAAAATTTGGCAAACGCGTAAAACACTAATTGAAATGGATAAATCTTTATCTAGATATTTTTTATCCGATTTCCGTTCAGAAGCGCCTCGTCCACGACATTGACATTGACATTGACGCCCACCCACTCGACGGCGGCCCCATTCTCTTCACAACAGCAACAACAACACGGCAGCTGTCAGTCCATCTCATTCCTATGGGCACTCGTCGAAAGACCCGGATATACGGCCAAGAAACGCATCGAGGTACGAGGCGTCGGAATTCGGTTCTTGCGCATTATCGGGGGGTTTAGAAATGTTTGCTTGAAAAAAAGAAAGAGATTTCTCGATAAAAATGGGCAATTTTCGGCGAAAATTTCACAAAAAATTTATTTATAGGTTTTTTTTGATTGCCTTTCCACTTGGAATATAGTTACATTTTACTAAAACGCTATTAAAATACTTACTAGGCATTTCTGGACAGAAGAAAACAGTTGCCCCCCCCCGCCCGATATTGCGAAAGAACTTAGAATTGTTTCGGAACGAGGCTCTTTCTCTCTCTCTCTCTCACTCTCTCGCTCTCTCTTTCTCAACTACAATTCTTCAATTCAGGGTCGATGCGATGCCCTCCTCAGCGATCTGATGCAAAAGTTGTCCGCTCGTGTCCAATTGACGGTCGTTGTGACTGATATCATCGCCGAAGTCCTCCAATCGCTGTCCTCAAAAATTTGTAAGATTTGAGGTCCCTATAAAAAGTGTCGCTTTCCAGCGCTACCGCTCGACCCTGAACAGCTTCGCCTCGTCTTCGACCGCATGGCCAAGCAGTTTGGACGGTGGAAAGAGGTGCGTTTGTTCAATTTTCCGCTTTTATGTTCAATTAAATTAAGTTAAATTAATTTAGACCCAAAATTCGTTTCCCCAAAATCCCCAAACGTTTTATGGTGTTTTTCGTGGTTTTTGATTGCTAAAAAGTTATAGCCGGAATTTTTGTATATTTTATCATACTATTTTCTGTCTAAACACTGTTGTATTCCCGGTAAAAACTGTAATAACAAACAGCAGAGCACGAAGTTTAAGCAATTTTATTGAATTGTTAAAATATATATGGTGAATTTCAGTCAAAAATTTCAATTCCTGCGTTCGAAAGTGGTAGTAAAAATTTTATAAATTTAATATTTAAATATTTCGGCTTTTAAGGAATTGGAGGCAATCTACAGCACTCTGAAGACGTTGTCCGCGTCGTCACGCCACTCGACTCCATCCCTCGTTCTCGCCATCTATTCCACCCCTTCTGATGTACATCGGGTTATCATTTAGGCTTTTCTCCTTGTATTTCACTGCTTTTTCTTTTTCTGTGATTCTCCGAAATATGATATTACGGCCGTTTTTGTTCTTTGTGGGTTGTTAATGATTTTGTTGCCTTTTGATCGCAATTTCGTTGACTTTGAATAAAGGAATTATGGCGTATCACGGACTGCCTTCGCGTTTGCTGTCGAATTTCAGTTGTATTCATTACTCTGCAGATATGCCCTGAGAAGCCTTCAACACGCCGTCGCCGCCGATCATCGTTGCGTCGTATTTCCGCCTAGAAAAGCTCTGCTTTAACGTTTTCCAGTACCCTCAACGTGAATTCTACTCTCACGGCAACACAAGCAATGGGTTGGGCCGCAACGGAAAATTGGGAAATTGGGCCGAAAATGGGGCTACGCGACGCTCCAATACACGCCGTTTTGAACCAAACTCTAGTCCAGAACCGGAAAAAAAAACCGAATCGGCGCATTCTCTTCACAACTTTGAAAATCCACTTTTGCAGTTAGAATCTAAATCAAAAGTTATAAACCTTCAAAGATTTTCCCCTTAAGTTAATATTGTGCCGGGCCCGAACCTAAGGCTATATAGGGGTATTCGAGGCGTCGAATACTGCACGCCTATCAGTTTTTTCACTAAGATTACGTTCTATGCCTTCTTTAGCTATTTAGAAACATATGGAAATCGGCTAATTGACAAGCGAATGTTTTCGGCTTGAGCTTTTTGCGGGGGCTCGCTCACCATCTTAAAATTTATTCGAAACGGATGGAAATTTCGAATAAAATATGGGGAACACGATGCGTTGAAAATTATCGGCAATCCGGAACCTTTTTTCGCCACACTTTTAATTTCAGGTGTAAAAGGGTTAAAGAAAATGGGATTCCAACGGAAGAAACCGAGGTTTAGACCCGCGAAAAATTCTTCTGTGGGCCGGGGTAAGGCTTGTATGACCCTAAGGGTATCTGCCCAGGATCGCACAGATTTTTTTTTTGATGAAAAATTTTTTTTCACGAAAATTTTGGGCCGAGGACCTGCTGGTACGTACGGAGGAAGCTCAGAACGCAGCGTCTTTCGACGCTGGGGACTGTTTTGAAAATCTGGATCTTGGAGCAAACTATTTATCTAACTTTATTTTTCGGGTGTTTAGCGACCTGGTAGAGATACGGGCCTGGGCAAAAATCCTCGGCATTTTCGAGCTTTTCGTCGTCGGGGGCCGGCCCTAAAAATACGAGCGGGCCCTGAAAATCGAGATTTTTTCCAAAATCGGCATTTTCCGGGGTTACGGTAGGTTCCAAATGACGGTTTTTGGCTTAGTTGGGTTACGGTTTGTTTCGGTCCTCAATTTTGGCGATTTTCCCTTTAAATCGTCTTGAAAATCGGCATTTCCTAAAAATCGGCATTTTTTCGCAAAAACCCAGCATTTTCCGGGGTTACGGTAGTTTCCAAATGACGGTTTTGGCTTAGTTGGGCTACAGTAACTAGCTCGAATTGCCATTTTTCGCGGTTCCTCCCCAAATTAGCGAAAAATCGACATTTTTCCCAAAAATTGGCATTTTTCCCAAAAATCGGCATTTTCGGAGTTACGGGTGGTTTCCAAATGACGGTTTTTGGGCCGTTAGTTGGGTTACAGTAGCTTCGAATTGCCAAATTTGGCAATTTTCCCTATAAAATATCATTTTTTCCCAAAATCGGCATTTTCCCAAAATCGGCATTTTCCGGGTTACGGTAGGCTCAATGACGGTTTTTGCCTTGGTTGGGTTACGGTAGCTTCGGAATCGTCATTTTTGGCAATTATCCTATAAAATATCATTTTTCCCGAAAAATCGGCATTTTCCCAATCGGCATTTTCCCGGGTTACGGTAGGCTCCAAATGACTGTTTTTTTTCCTTAGTTGGGTTACGGTAGCTTCGGAATCGTCATTTTGGTAATTATCCTTATAAATATCATTTTTCCCAGGGACCGGCATTTTCCCAAAAAATCGGCATTTTCCGGGGTTACGGTAGGCTCCAAATGACGGTTTTTGCCTTGGTTGGGTTACGGTAGCTTCGGAATCGTCATTTTTGGCAATTATCTAGACTCTGGTAATATCATTTTTCCCTGGAAAATCGGCATTTCCCCAAAAATCGGCATTTTCCGGGGTTACCGTGAGGCTCCAAATGACGGTTTTTGGCTTGGTTGGTGTGTTACGGTAGCTCGGAATCGTCATTGTTGGCAATTATCCTATAAAATATCAATTTTCCCGAAATGATTTCGGCATTTCCCCTCCCAAAAAATCGGCATTTTCCGGGGTTAGCGGTGGGCTCCAAATGACGGTTTCTCCCTTGCTGTTGGATTACGGTAGCTTCGGAATCGTCATTTTTTGGTATTAACCTATAAAATATCAAAAAATCGGCATTTTTCGCAAAAATGACATTTTTTGCAATTTCGCAAAATGGGCCTTTTCTCGCCATACACACCTTAGACCCATTTTCGCAAATTCCGCAAAATCCAAATTACGCGATTTTTAGCTGAAATCTTGCCAGAATACGTAATTCGACACGGGCAATACGCTTCACAGCTACGCAAAATCGCAACAACCGCGTCTCCACCTTTAATAAGCCACTGTTACAACGGCAACCCCCGAATTCGGCATAAATACCGACAATCGACAAATCACGCATTTTCATCCGATTCTCACCACACCATCGGATTCCCCACCGAAAATTACTATATAAATACAGCTTACCAGCCTCCAATTCCACATTTTACAAAACACCCAAAATCCCCACATTTACAATATTCTAAATGTAGACCACTTTTAAACATCAAAATCGACATTTCTAACAAATTCCGAAAACGTGTAGCTCTTCCTGCACCCTATACTATAGGGTAGCGTTTTTAGGTTTATTCAAATTGCTCTTTATCCCCGCCAGAGAAACGCCCCTCAAAACAGTCTACACAACCCCCGATTCGCCAATTATCCCAACTTCAACCCACGATTTAACCCCAAAACCCCATTCCCTCACAACTTCAGACAAATAGCACCTGTTCCAGCAACATCCCCTCTACCCCTCCACGTTTTTACTTTTTTTCCATTCATCATTTTAATTAAAATAAACCGGGCGTAAACCCGTCCATAATCGCCTGCCAGCGTTCTGTAGTTTGTAGTCTCTAAATATGCGAAGCTATCTCCGAGTAGAGCAAGGTTTGAGAATGCAGCGCATACGGTAGTTTTCCTTAAAACTCACTTTTACGCTTCCAACCAACACTTTTCTAGACCAGTTTTCGACGCTGATTCCGAATATCCACTCCCCTGGTTTCCTCCGAACCTGCCCGATCCTTAGAGTTACAGCGCTTTTAGCAAAACCACACCCAATTCTAGGCCAAAAAATCGTAAATCTCCGCCGTTTTCCACGCTAGCAAATACGCCTCAACGGGTCCCGACCAATTGACTGCCAGGTCAATACGGGCCAACCCTCTGTTCACACTCCTCCCCCCCATGCCCGAGCACGACCTCCCTCCGCCGCAATTCTTTCCTCGTTGCCCCCTTCCATCCAAAATCCATCAAAAGTCGTTGATTTCTTCTCTCCAATCCCCAACTGCCACCCACCCGCACCCATTCCACTCGAAAAAACCCCAAAAACTCGCAGGAATTTTTCCGCCGCTTCACCTCGGTACTCCCAGGTTACGGTAGCCCCACATATCGCAGCCAATTTGCTCCATTCCCGAAGTGCAACCCCAAAATTACGTACCAACTTCCACCTAGATCACGTTTATCACGCTGAATCCGAATATCCTTCGGTTTCCCTCAACTACGCCTCGCACCGAGATACGCACGTACCCCTTGGCGACGCCGCCACTCCGACGCCCCTACCGCCCCCGGGTTTCCCGACACCTATGCCGATGTTGGTACAGAAATGCTCGTCTCGACCGGGGCTACAATTCTACATTCAAAAACCACGAAAAACGCGATTTTTTTTGTATTTTCGAAATTTACCGTAACCCCGATTGCTCGGAAATTACGATATTTACAAAAAACGCTTTTCATAATCGAATACGCCGCAAAAAGCCCACAAAGTGCACAACATTGATTTTCGCAAATCTCGAATCTTTATATTAAAATGATTGGTTTTCAGGCCTCCCAGTACTTCGCCGATCTCACTGAGTCTCACCGCCGGATTCGCTATGATCCCGGGTAACATACTACCCGTTTGAATAAAAATATGGCTATGAAAATTGTCTTCCTTTCACCGGCCTTTCCTCGATGCTACCACTCAAATCGCCTTGCGGCTTTTCGAGAAAAACCATTTATTTCTTCACGCATTAACCCGCAAAATTTTCTTTTTGCCATCATTTGTCAGCAATGCATACAGTTGTTTAAACCTTCCATAGAAATGCGACGAGGAAATCTGAAATGATCTTTTCTTTGACAAATCATCTGAACATACAATTTCCATAGACGCTTGATTTGGCAGTGCTAAATGCAGCTATCTTCCGGATATCCCTGCAAAGGAGGAGGTGTTTGAAGGAATTCTTTTGTTAGGTCACCGATAGTGGTCCGTGGTGCACAGCCTGCAGTCCTTTATCCATACTTGGGAGTATTTTGTTCTCTTCCCGTGTTGCGTCCAGAAATTCCAGCCGGCCATTATGAACCGTTTCGAAGCCGTTTTCGTACGAATTCTAGGAAACACGATTATGATTGAAGCCCCGTCGCCCCACTCATTACCAAAAATGTATAGAAGTCGTCCCGATTCTCCATCGACATCAAATGAATAATTCCGGGTTGATGCTCACGTTTTGGGCGAATATTGTAAACTAAATTTTTTAGCCAAACTGCTACAGGGTGCGTCCAAAAAAATGACAATTTGAGACTGCAATATCTGTCGAACGGAGACGAATCGAACCTTCGTTACCACATGCTAAATGCTTAAAAGTGCTGGGCATGAAGAAATAAAAAGCAACTTGATTTTTTCGATTTTGAATACACAACTGTACTCATTGACGCTGGTTCACGGCCGAAAATCTGT